ATAAGAGTTAAACCTTCTTAGCCTTAGCTCACCGCGATAAGTCTATGAAGACCTTGGAACACAGGTCGACACATAACGGCGGGCACGAAGGGATGAGGAAAAAGAGTCGAGATGTCACAGAGGATTGCACCAGTACTGGTTGCCAAGGGAGCGTCTGTGAGTCGGAGGGCACTAACGACTCGTCGCTGGAACAATCGAGTCGTCGTTTCACCAAGGTCAACCCCGTGCGCACTTTAGGAACCATCCGCTACATCCAGTCTGTGATGTATCTGGGCCGTACTCGAGCACATGCTTGGGGTTTCAGTGCTAACTGGTAGTCAGGCTTATGACTGAAAAGCAGAAAATGACCAAGACAGACTGCATCAACTTACTCGCATTTTCTGTCGTCCCTCCGCAATTATGACTTGAACGACTTTGGCCTGGTAGTTCGTTTTCTGTCCGTGGCCTTTGCCACCAATGCGGAGCTTGGTTGCTTCGGGAAACCAATGGCTCCGCATGCGCCTATTTTTCCTTAAATAAATCAGATTGGCAGTCACAGAGAATGACCGGTAGCTAGGCACAGATGAATGGCTTTTCGTTCACAATTTCGCAGAGTCATAGAATTCTATTAATTCAGTTGTATAATCAGGGATTATTCCTCCAATATTTTGGGGTGGCGCAGGCATGGGTGAACAAAGAAAGCGGTAATATCCACCCACTAATTCGAGTGACAGATATACGCAGACATTACACAAACACATTATACTACTAGTGGTAAAAAAGCGGTCATGCTTATTACTATTTCGCCCTATTTTCGCCTATAAGCACATTATTGACGTATTTTTTCCCATTTTTCATTTGTATCCATTTATTTCCCAGCATCCTGTTATCCATAAGGAGCTCAAAGGCGTTCGCACACCTTTTCGCCCAATAAACTGATAAACTGATAATGCTTTCGGTATATCACTTGCTTCCGTAAAATCGGGCGGAAAGTCAGCGCAAGATTTCGTCGAAATGATCTGCCGAACTTTGGTCCTGAGTTCAGAAACT